CTTTTGTTGTTCTTTTTCTAATTTTTGGAGTTGTTGAATTAGAGTGTTGATTTTGTCTCTTTCCTCTTTTTTGATGTAGGCATTTATTGCTATAAACAAACCTCTGAGTACTGCTTTTGCTGTGTCCCATAGGTTTTGGTATAATGTATCTTCATTCTCACTGTTTCTAGGAATTTTTGTATTTCACTTTTTATTTCTTCTATTACCCAGTAGTTTTTGAGTAGTGTACAGTTCAACTTCCACATGTTTGATGTTTTTGTCCTTGATCTTCCTATTATTAATTATTTCTAATTTTACAGCATTGTGGTCCAAGAAGACGCTTTGTAGTATTTCAAAGTTTTTTAATTTATTGAGGCTTGTTTTATGTCCTAACATATGATCTATCCTGGAGAATGATCCATGTGCACTGGAGAAGAATGTGAATTGTGCTTTTGTTGGGTGGGATGCTCTGTATATGTCTATGAGGCACAGTTGGTTGATTGTGTTGTTTAGTTTTTCCATATCTTTGTTGAGTTTTTTTCTAGTTGATCTGTCCCTCCTTGAAAGTGGTGTGTTAAAGTCTCCTACTACTATTATGGAGTTGTCTATTTTCCCTTTCAATTCAATTAATATTTGCTTCACATATTGTGGAGCACTTTCATTAGGTGCATAGGAATGGAAGGGAATGGGGGAGAGGTGACAGTATGCAATGCACTGCCATCGACTCAGACTGAACTCATAGTGACCCCTTCTTGGGTTTCCAAGGTGGTATCACTATGGAAGTAGATTGCCCAAACTTCCTTCCAAGGAGTGGCTGGTGGGTGCTTAGATATTTATTATTATAATGTCTTCTTGGTCAGTTGACCCTTTCAGCATCATATAGTGACTTTCTTTGTATCTTCTTGTTTTCCACCTTAAAGTTTATTTTATCAGAAAATAATATTGTCACTCCTGCTGTTTTTTGCTTACTGTTGGCTTGGTATACTTTTTTCCACCCCCTAACTCTTAATTTGTTTTTATCTTTGTGTGTAAGGTAGGTCTCTTGTAGGCAGCATATCGATGGGTCTTCTTTTCTTATCCAGTCTGCCACTCTCTTTCTCTTGATTGGTGCATTTAGTCCATTCACATTGAGTGTAATTAGTGATAGGTATGAATTGATTGCTGTCATTCTATTGTGTTTT